GAGGGAGAGAAGGAGAAAGGGAGGGGGAGGGAGGAAGAGGGAAAGAGAGACAGAGAGTCTGTCTCTCATTGACTGTCTTTCTCTCAAAAAAAGGTTTATTAAACATAAAGCAGACATTTATATTAAATAGGTTATAAATAACATTTTGCTTTAAAAACATGCCACATAGTCTAAAAATTGTAACAGTTATTACTGCCTTTTTGAGCCAATGTCCAAACTCTGAGAGAACAAGCTCAGTCATGTCTCTTGAGGTCAGAATGACAACACAGCCACTAAAGGACATGCACTGCTTTCCCAGAGTACACATGCTGTGACTCAGCCAGAAGCCAAAAGGGAAGTCTCCTGTTGGGAGAAGCTGAAGGGTGATGGAGGCCTAGACAGGTGGGAGAGAGAATGGGAAGGGAACCTTATTCTCCGACAATACAGAGAGAAGGAATGAGAGACGGGCCTGCAGAGTAGCTACCTCTCACAGAGCTGCAAGTCAAGTCAGTTCACAGACGCTCTATGTGTATCTCTCGGGGCCTTCCTGTTCCCATTACTACATGAGAATTAAAACCACTCTTAGGCAAAGGGAAGAAATAGGTAAACGGCTCAAGTCTGTCCTTCCAGGCCAACGAGACAAAACTGTGCTCATTTATTCAACTTCACTTGTAACAAACACCCATCCAATCACAGCATGAAGTCAAGGGAAAGGACAAAGGAGTCAGTGTGGCCATGCTCACTCCTCCACAGGGAGTCAGTGAGCCGCTGAGAAGGCTGCACTCTAAAGCAGTAAGGGAGATAATCATAACCCACCACTGTCCAGTAAGAAGTCTACTTCTGAGGTGTGTAGGAATCCTTGCGAAGTCATATAGACAAGCAGTTGCTAATGTCCATGGAGGGAAAGGAGCAATATGGCCTTGCTTTTGCTAAGTCTGTTTTCTTAAAGACTATCTGTTCTTCTTTTATCAGCTTCTAGTGAAATTCAACTTCCAACTAACTACTCATCTTCAGGGTGCCTGTCTTATCACAGTGCCATGAATACTGATAATTAAATATTAATTAAGAGACCACATAATTGGCCCTTCAAAAGGGCCTGCACTTTCCTTGGTGATAGAAACAGTGCCTCAAATATCCCTTACTTTCCTATTTTCCTCTTATGTCATCATTTCATGAGATCTTCTCCATAATACAAATAAGCTGAATTTCCTAATACATGTTCAGCATATGAAAGACAGCAACCACCAGGAAGTCTAATAAAGCAATCGGGATTTGTTAAAACGACAAATTCTACACATAAAAGTCAGAGGCTAAGATCATCAAAACGCACAAGTACAAAGCTTTCCTAAGATCAGAGCTCATTAAGTTAGATAAGCAAAGTCACACTTACCAAAGCATTGATGTCCAACATGGAGTGGCATTCTTTAAACTTTGAAATCTCTTGTTCCAGTGTATCTAGTAACACAACTTGGTTCTGTCTGAAACAAAAGCACACAACCATTGCAAAGTTTCCATGTTCTCAGTATTGGGTCTTTTCACAGAATCACACTCATTCTGGCTAAAGGGAGAAGCTGGAAATCAGGCTGCCAATACAGTGCCTCTCCAAGACTTCCCCACCTTAGAATAATCTTTCCAATACCATATTCCAAAGATATATTGACAACTAAGTATATACTTTATTCTTGACACAATTTCAGACTTTAATAACTAAAATAATCTGCAGAGTATTTTACTGTTTTAGCAACATTCTGCGTTATCACACCAAAAGCTCTTTTATAGTATTTTGCTCATGAAACTCAATTTTCTATGCATCTCCAAAAGTAAACTAGAAACCAAGAGTTTCCTGATTTAGACTTGGAAAAGATGCAGTACTGATGGACAGTATTTCCTCAAGGATCAACAAGCAATTCAGGAAGAGTTGGCACAGGTCTGGAACCATGTGCAGCATTTCCCTCACAGCTGTATGGTCTCAGACACTCAGGCTGTTTCTCTTGACCTAAATGTCATTTACACAGGCAGAAGGTCAGAGCAGACAACTTCAAGGGTTTGTTAACCTTTAGACTCAAATCGTAGGGAAGGAGAGAAGATAACTTCCTTCCCATTCCTCCCCAGAGCAATGCGGTCACAGGGTTAAGTGACAGGGAAGGGTCACCTAAATGAACATTTTTAAGAAAAATATAACGTGGTTTGTTGCAAAATAGAGAGCTGTGATGAAAAATGAATTAGCAATCACATGTCCACCATCAGGACTAGGTCTGTAGACCAACAGGTCACTCACTAGTCTGTCCCTTCGTGTCAGACTAGGGATCACAGAAGAGGAGGTACAGCGTGGAGAACAAAATACCCAGCAACTTGCCAAATACAAAACAGCAAAACCCAGGGGGTCAAAACATGAAAACAACAGCTTCAGTATCAATAAAACTGAAAAGCCACTGGTCAGATCAAACAAGAAAAAAAGGCACAAATTCTAAGAATTGTTCACGAAGGAGTCAGCCATCAATGTCAATGTGATGGTATTATAAGAACATAAAACTCCGTCAACTCTGGACACTTCAGAGGGAACAGACCAATTCATTCAAACACACAAATGATTCAAACTCATACAAGGACCACTCACTCTCAAAACCTACAAAGAAACTAGAATCTCTAGGACTATTACTTCACTTTTGACATTTAGGCTACAGGTTACTCCATAATTCCCATTCTGTGTTCCACACAGACATGCTCAATGATTCAATGTTCCAGAAGACTTTCATATTACATGAGATTACCAGGTGATGTCTGACTACACAGAAGGAACTGACGAGCCGCTGGCTTTCTGTTGGCTTACGTGAGTTCCTGGAGCGCTCGCTTGGACCTCTGCAGATCTGGTAAGTAGTGGGACAGCAGGCCTCCCACCAGGTGCTCTACAGCTCTGTCCTCCACAGCGAAGTCCTCTATCAGTCCTTCATCTGGAGACATATCACTTAAGCCTGTGCTCAAGAAAAAAACACATTTAGGAAACGCTATGCTGCTGCACGGTAGGAAGGCTGGGGGAGCTCAAGCAGGGAGCAGGGAAGAAGTCCACAGGGAGCTAAGAGCCCAAACCCTCTCTTAACTACACAGTCGCTTCTCTTAAATATGTACCTTCTAAGCATTCTCTAAAACACAGTAAAAAAGAACAAAAAACTTTTTGTGTTGTTTTGAGTATTTCTTATTTTAAGGCAAGGTTTCCTTGTATAGCCCATGCTGGCCTAGAAATCTCAATCCCCCTGCCTCACCCTCCTGAGCCACGCATTACCAAATCTGGGAAAAAGCTATTTTTAAGCTGCAAATATATAACAAAGTCTAAGTAAATGTACATTAGTGTATTCAAATTTTACATGTTCATGTATTTTATTAAATGAGTCAGGCTGAAGGATGAGTTTACAGCTATGAATTAAGGAATTCTTAATACATTAATACTTTTTAAAGCATGCATAATTACATAGACAAGGCTGGTGAGGCAGCTCAGTGGGTAAACATCCTTGCTATGGAAGCCTGACCTCCTGACATCCATCCCTGAAAGCCACAGGACAGAACAGACCCCTGAAAACTGTTCTCTGAGCTTCACAGGAATATAGTGATATGATCTCTTACCCCGTTCCCTCCTCTCTCTCTCTCTCTCTCTCTCTCTCTCTCTCTCTCTCTCTCTCTCACACACACACACACACACACACACACACACACACAAACACTAAGAAAATAAAAACTTACAGAAAGGGCTGGAGAGATGGCTTAACCAATAAAGGCTTGTTAAAGAAATTATATAAACAAAGATGCAATACCTAAAACCCTGTTTTAAACTCAAAAGAAAGAAAGGCTTTTTGCTTAATATAGTTACACATAAAGGGCATTGTTTTGTCATTTTTTAATTAAGACACAGCACTTTCTGTGAATCAGGGCCAAAGCTAGGAAAGTCAGCTGGGAAATGGGGCCCCAGGACTGGGCTGATTAACACAAGTTCAGTGATGTGATGACTCAATTCAAAGAGGGGGAAAAACATTCCATACCTTAATCTGCTATAGGAAATAGTGTGCTCTGATTGTGTCACGGCCTAGTCTAGACCTGCTGCCAGGAATGACGTTGCATCCTTTTCCAGGCATTCAAATGTCTAAGGTAAACACCCACCAATTACTGTTCCCAGAAAAATAATACACAGCTGTTTCAAAGGGGGGTCAATGAATGGTTATAAGGTTTTTACAATCATTGATTTTGAATGAGCTAAAGGTAAAATGTTCACTAAAATTGTGCCCAGAAAGCATTCCATAGTTAATGTTTACTTCTGATATACCTGTTGTCAATCATAGTCTAGTAAAAACCAGGGAACATCAAATTAAGACTGGACTGGAGAGACAGCTCAGTAGTTAGACACACTGGATGCTCTTACCTCTGTAACAATTTTAACTTTAACCCTGAAAACACAAACAAATTGAAATTCTCAAAAGTTGCAAGACAGAATTCAAATGGGAAAGGGCTAAACAGAAACTGAAACTCTCCACAAGCAAAAATGAAATAGGATCGAGGAAGACTTGGGAACAGAACACTATTAATGTGCCTTTGGATGAGGAACAAAAAGCTTACATTTGGCAAGTAATTCCACTGCTTAAGTTTTGTCTACAATAACAGTACAACAAACACCAAGTAAACATGGACAACATATAATACATGAACAGAAAAAAATATCTGACTAAGGATATTTCAACTTTAAGATGTAACAACAAATTTGCCTACCTACACACACGCACGCGCACGTACATTTTAACTCATAGGCCTCCCTTTCCCATTCTAATTACTAGCAATTATTGGATAGGCATCAGTTAACTTTTTAAACATATTTAGCTACTAAGTTCCAGGTACTTCATTGTGGGAGACTGTAGAACAGAGGTTTTGATCATGTGGTGGCAACCCCTTTCACAGGGGTTGCCTAAGTCCATCAAAAAAACAGATATTTACATATGATCCATAGCAGTAGCAAAATTACAGTTATGAAGTAGTCACAAAAATACTAAAAGGTCATGGCATTAGACGATTAAGAAACAGAGTTCTAAAGGATAAAAAGAGGTCCTTACCATATTCATACAATGAATGTGCGCTGAACACCTATTGTGTGTTAATTTCTTAGTCACAACAATAAACAAACTCCTCCCTGAGTGTACAGTACAGGGGAGTATACAAAGCCATTACAAAAACTGTTGTGGAATCTGATAGTCTGAGATGATTTCTAAAGGAAGGCTGGATGTTGAAGACCCTGAATGCCCACCTCACCCGCCATCCCCATCCTCTGTTCTCTTTGTTAATCATTGTAAAAAGGTAAACCCGTGGAAAAAGGCACAACTTAAAAAGCAAATGTCCTTCTCATAACCTAAATCCAATGGACTCTGCAGTTTCCTCACATAAACGTCCAGAAACTGTCTTTACTCAGTCATGCACATAATCTTTTTATCACACTGTTCTTCTATGTGTTTGTCTGTCTGTTTTAAGACAAAGTCTGTCAAAGGTGAGCCTTGCTCCTGCTTCAGCTTCCTAAGTGTTGGCATATGCTACCACACACAGCAAGCTTTTCTCTTAAATACATCTTAAGTATCTTTCCTCAGCAATGCATATGGATCTACTTCATTCATTTTTTTTTTTTTTTTTTTGGCTTTTCGAGACAGGGTTTCTCTGTGTAGCTCTGGCTGTCCTGAAACTCACTCTGTAGACCAGGCTGGCCTCGAACTCAGAAATCCGCCTGCCTCTGCCTCCCAAGTGCTGGGATTAAAGGCATGCGCCACCACCGCCAGGCTTACTTCATCCATCTTAAAAGAACAAAATTCTGTATTACTTCACTCAATCCACTTTGGATAGATTATACTATTTTCATTTTTCAATAAACAATGTTGCCGTGATCTTCCTAGCTAATTTTTGCACGCTCCTATTTCCATGGGAGACATTCTTAGAAAACAGTTGGGACAGAACGTGTGTCCATCTTTGACTCTGCAAAAACCCTCCTAGAAGACGGCCCCAACTCAGACTGCCGCCACCACTTCCACATGGATACAAATGAAGGACTGCAACACTGACAGAGAAACAGAATGAGAAAAGGCAAAGATGAACAGCAATGCCATGCACAGAAAAGCGACAGTGAGCTATTAATATATTCCATGAGCCAGCCTGTGAGGATCTCTGAGTGCCAATTCTATGGGAAATTCAGTAAGTGGCAAGAAGCCATTCTAAGGACCCATGACTGGAGCACGTCCTGGAGGCAGTAAAGTTACAACAATGGACAAATGATGCAAGAATAAGTGACTAGAGGTGGTAGCTTTAGAACTGCTAACACCAGGGTATAAACACAAACGGGAGACGCTAACGCACTGTGGAATCCTCTACATGAAACACAGGGAACTGAATCCAAGAGTACAATTTCAATGTCATGGGAGAGTAAGCTCACACCATTAACAAGATCGGACATCTGAGGCCAGGGATCTAGCTCAATAGTAGAGCACTTGCTTAGAATGAAAAAAAGTCCTGAGTTGAAAATACAGCTAGCACACATCCCTATCTCTGTCCTACTCTCTGACATCTTTTATATATTTGCGTGCCACTCGTGCAATATGTGCAGAAAGAAAGAGAGGGAGGGAAGGAGGGAGACAGAGAGAGAGAGAGAGAGAGAGAGAGAGAGAGAGAGAGA